CAGCAATATGTGAGGGATCCAGTTTCTTCACATCCTTAACACCACTTTTTTTGTGTGAAGTGGTATCTCATTGTGGTTTTTGAAAAAGTTGGGTCAAATACTCATGACAATATTTGCCATCATAAACATTTTAAAGTGTATAGTATTAAGTAGTGTGAAGTATATTCCCTTTATTGTGCAATCAACCTCCAGGACTTTTTCATCATGTAACACTGAAACTCCTTATCTGTTAAACCACCACTCCCCATTCCTATCCACAGTCTCTGGCAACCACCATTTTGCTTTCTGTTTCTATGGATTTGACTACTGTAGATACCTCATATAAGTGAAATCATACAGTATTTGTCTTTGCGTGACTGGCTGGCTTATCTCACTTGATAATGTTCTCAATATTCATCCATGTTGTACACTATCAGAATTTCCTTCCTTTTTATAATTCAGTTCCATTGTATGGATGTACCACATTTTGTTTATCCATTCTTCCATTTATGGACACTTGGGTTGCTTCCACATTTTGGTTATTGTGTGTGAATCATACTGCTGTGAACATTCTGTGTACAAATATATTTGAAACCTTTGGGATACCCAGAAATAGAATTGCTGGATCATATGATAATTCTATTTTTAATTTTTTGAGAAACTGTCATACTGTTTCCTATAGAAGTTGTGCCATTTTACATGCACAATGGTTCCAATTTCTCTACACCCTTACTGACATGTATTCCTTTCTATTTTTTTTTGATAGTGCCCATCCTTATGGGCTGATTTGCATTTTCCTTATGACTGATGATGTTGAACACTCATTCATGTGTTTTGTGCCATATGTACATCTTCTTTGAGGAAATGTCTACTCAAATTCTTTGCCCATTTTAAAATAGGGTTATTTTTATTATTATTATTGAATTGTAAGATACAAGTTCTTTAGTAGATATATGATTCACAATTGTGTTCCTAATGGTGTCCTTTGTGAAGTACAAAAATTTTTTTATGGGGTTTCTTTTTATTATTATTAAGATATCATTGATATACACTCTTATGAAGGTTTCACATGAAAAACATGTGGTTACTACATTCACCCATATTACCAAGTTCTCCTCCACCCTCTTCCCCACTGTGGTCACTGTCCATCAGTGTAGCAAGATGCCACAGAGTTACTACTTGTCTTCTCTGTGCTACAATGTCTTCCCCATGATCCCTCCCACACCATGTGTACTAATCATAATACCCCTCAATCCCCTTCTCCCTCTCTCCCCACCCTCCCTTCCCCACCCCTCCCTTTGGTAACTGCGAGTCCCTTCTTGGAGTTTGTGAGTCTGCTCATGTTTTGTTCCTTCAGTTTTTCTTCGTTCTTATACTCCACAAATGAGTGAAATCATTTGGTACTTGTCTTTCTCTCCCTGGCTTATTTCACTGAACATAATATTCTCTAGCTCCATCCATGTTGTTACAAATGGTAAGATTTGTTTCTTTCTTATGGTTCAATAGTATTCTGTTGTGTATATGTACCACATCTTCTTTATCCATTCATCTACTGATGGACACTTAGGTTGCTTCCATTTCTTGGCTATTGTAAATAGTCCTGCAATAAACATAGGGGTGCATATGTCTTTTTGTATCTGAGAACTTGTTTTCTTTGGGTAAATTCCTAGGAGTGGAATTCCCAGGTCAAATGATATTTCTCTTTTGAGGTTTTTGAGGAACCTCCATATTGCTTTCCACAATGGTTGAACTAATTTACATTCCCACCAGCAGTGTAGGAGGGTTCCCCTTTCTCCGCATCCTCGCTAGCATTTGTTGTTCTTAGTCTTTTTGATGTTCGCCATCCTAACTGGTGTGAGGTGATATCTCATTGTGGTTTTAAGTTGCATTTCCCTGATAATTAGCAATGTGGAGCATCTTTTCATGTGCCTGTTGGCCGTCTGGATTTCTTCTTTGGAGAAGTGTCTTTTCATATCCTCTGACCATTTTTTAATTGGGTTATTTGCTTTTTGGATGTTGAGGCATATGAAGTACAAAATTAAAAATTTCTGATGAAATCCAACCGTCAGTTTTTTACTGCTTGTGCTTTTGGTACCATATCTAAGAAATCTTTCTCTAACCCAAGGCTGTGAATATTTACCCCTATGTTTTCTTCTAAGACTTTTATATTTTTGTTCTTCGTTCATGATGATCCATTTTTAGTTGATTTTTATGGATGGTTGCAGTCAGACAAACATGTTAGTGTCCATTTTGTTGGTGAATATTCCATTTCTCTAAGATGGATGATGCCTGGAGCCATGCCGGGAATTGGATGAACTAAGGCTCTGTTCCTTTCAGTATCCCTTATTGAAATCCTTTGTTTTGTTCCACCTCCTTTCTTGAATCTTGTTCTGAACTTTTTATACCAGGATAATGCACTGGAGTAAGATTCTGGGTGATGAGAGATTGGGCGATCTGTACAGTGTGATAAGGTGACTGAGTGAGAGGAGAGGGGGAAGGAATTCACAGCCTTTTTTCATCCTCTTAGATCAGGTCCATTTGGGAAAGAGCACTATGGGAGAGGGTGACCTGAAACTGTCTTCAAAGTATCCATGCTTGTGAACCCCCAGGAAGTCTATCTGTCCCTAGATTCATGTACCCAATTTGAAGACTGCAGTTTAAGATTCATCTCACCTGTCCCCTTTCCAGGAAGCATTCTGTGACTTATCCTGCTCACTTTTGTGTTCCTTCCTCTTTCCCCAAAAGGTCATTGCACATGACTTCTTGTTTACTCCCTTAAACTATATTTATTCATTTGTTCAACCAAAAATGTTTCATTAAGTGTGTGAGGTGTGTCAAGGACTGCGTTTGGCACTGAAGGTAATACGGTGAGCAAAGAAATAGGCATGCCCCTCTTTTCATGGGGATTTCAGTCCTGTTGGGGAGACTATGTTAATTAAACAGCCACACAGATAAATGTAAAATTATAAGTATGTGAAATTTGGCACAGTGTGAATTTCCAGGAAAGGAAGTGCCCTGACTTGTTGGGGAGGTCAGGAAGGTTTCTCTGAGGAAATGAGACTTAACTGAGTTGAAGGAAGAGCAAAGAGGTGTGAATGGAGGGTGGTGAGTGGGTATGCGTTCCTGGTGAAGTTCACTGCATGTGCAATACATGGAGGCCTTTGGCTGTTTCTAGAAATCCCAGGAACTACTAGGTAGATGCAGTGAGAAGACCATTAAAAAGTGGGTGCTGCCCTCAGGCAGCAAGAACCCTAAAAAGGCTTTTCTCTTGTATTCTGTGTTAGAGGTATTTTAATCTCAGAGCAAAACTTAAGAAGACATGGATGTTAAGTCTCTGTGACCTTGGACTAGACAGTGGTTTCTTAGATGTAATACTTAAAGCACAATCAGCCAAAGAACAGGTAGATAAACTGGACTGCCTCAAAATAAAAAACTTGTGCTCCAAAGGATACTATCAAGAAAGTGAAAAAGTCAACTTCCAGAATGGGAAAAAAGTGTTTGCATATCAAATATCTGAAATGGGTCTAGTATCCAGAATGTATAAAGAACTCTTACCACTCTACAACAAAAAGACAACCCAGTTATAAAATTGGCAAAGAATTTGAATAGACATTTCCTCAAAGAGGATATATAAATGGCCAATAGCATGTGAAAAGATGCTCAACATAATTAATCATTAGGGAAATGCAAATCAAAACCATAATGAGATACTACTTCACACTCACTAAATGGTAGTAACGGTAATAATAATAATAATGATAAAATACTAATGTCGGCACAGATGTAGAGAAATTGAAACACTTATTCATTGCTGGTGGGAATGTTAAATAGCACAGCAGATGGGGCAAACAGTCTGGCAGTTCCTCAGATGTTAAACATAGTTACCCTGTAACCCAGCAATTCCACTCCTAAGTGTATACTCCAGAGAATTGAAAACATTTGATCACATAAACATTTGTATGCTAATGTTTACAGCAGCATTATTCATAATTGCCAAAAAATGGGAACAATCCATTGTCCTTCTATGGGTGAATGTATGAACAAAAAGTAGTATATCCATGCAGTGGAATATTATTCAGCCATAAAAGTGAATGAAGTACTGATATATGGCACAACATAGATGATCCTTGGAAACATGCTAAATGAAAGAAGCCAGACTCAGAAGAGGACATTACATTTATATGAAATGTCCAGAATATACAATTCCATAGACACCAAAAGTACATTACTGATTGCCAAGGACTAGGAGGAGGGGAGCACAGGGAGTGGCTGCTAATGGATTTTCTTGGAGCAGTGATGAAGATGTCTTGGAATTAGGTAAGTGGTGATGGTTGCAGAATTTTGTGTACATACTAAAACACATACCATAAGATTTTCCTTTAAAAGGGTAAATTTGATGGTATGTGAATTAAAATTCCGATTAGAAAATTGGAGAAGTTCCTTAACTTGGGGTTCTTTTTCATCCGTATTTTAATGCCTTGTTTCTGCTGCTTTGGGCATTAGCATTTTTTAGGAGGTAGGCAATCCACAAATTAATTCTAAGGAAAAAAAAATCCCTGCTTGCCCCAAATCTGGCCTTGGACAGCATGTTTTATGGTGGCTTTGTCATGTCTCCTTACCAAGTAATGTGGTTCTGAAGGAAGACTGACACCAAAGTGGATCTGAAGTCAGTGAAATAAATTCATGTTTTTTGTTTAATTACACATTTCCATTGTGAGTGTTAGGTTCCTACTTCTTTTCCTTTTTTCCAGTCTATGGGACTTCCTGCCAGTGCTCCGGATCATCCCCAGATATTGTATTGACTTAGACTTTTTCTTTAGCAGAGACATAGAATTGGGTGGGTGTCTCTGGGTTGTGAATAGCTGGTCTTCATTGTTGTGTTTGCTTTAAAATTGGCATAATGAAGTGTGGGGTGGGGGTTGGAAGCAAGCATTGCTGCTGATGAAAGCTTCATAGTGCTGTTGATACTGTGAAAATGTTTTTCTAATTTAATCATTTAAAAAAGCAATGTATTTTTCTAGGACCTTAAGATGTCTTCGTTGATAAGGCTTCATAGAGGACAGTATGGAAGATCTTCAGTAACTAAAAGGTAAAGAGAAATACTCATTTTGTGTGTCATGGTTTTTAGGCATTCCCAGGGCAAAATAGCAAAATTAGATGAAGACATAAATACAGATATCAGGATTTAATTTTGGCAATTGTTGCTGATTTCACTTTAATTTTAGTTTACATAATTAAAAAACCAGCGGCTTTTTCATTCTTTTCTAATAGCAGAAACAATACATTAAAAAACTTTTTTCATTTTTACTGTGGATTCACAGGACATACAGTCATTATTTTAAAATATTCAAACGACTTTGAAATGCATAGCACAAAAAAGTGCAAATCCTCTGTAATGCCACCCCTGAGCATTGGCCAGTATAAACGGTATGATATCTGGAGAAATCTGTAAGTAAATGGAACTCTTTATTTTTGCATGGTTGAAGGTGGTCTTCAAGCTTAACTGTGTATGTATACTCATTAATATTTCACCTCTGCAATCATCAAAGAGGATGCCATCAAGTCTTTGCATTTTTTCTTTTTAATCCTTTGCTGTTTTTTTATTTTATTTTATTTTGGTATCATTAATCTACAATTACATGAGGAACATTGTTTACTAGACGCCCCCCATCACCGAGTACCCCCCACAAACCCCATTACAGTCTCTGTCCATCAGCATAGTAAGATGCTGTAGAATCACTACTTGTCTTCTCTGAGTTGCACAGCCCTCCCCATGCCCCACCCGACATTATACATGTTAATCGTAATGCCCCCTTTCTCCCCCACCCCATCCCTCCCTTTCCACCCATCCTCCCTAGTCCCTTTCCCTTAGGTAACTGTTAGTCCATTCGTGGGTTCTGTGTTTCTGCTGCTGTTTTGTTCCTTCAGTTTTTTCTTTGTTCTTACACTCCACATATGAGTGAAATCATTCGGTACTTGTCTTTCTCCACCTGGCTTATTGAGCATAATACCCTTTAGCTCCATCCATGTTGTTGCAAATGGTAGGATTTGTTTTCTTCTTATGGCCAAATAATATTCCATTGTGTATGTGTACCACATCTTCTTTATCCATTCATCTACTGATGGACACTTCAGTTGCTTCCATTTCTTGGCTATTGTAAATAGTGCAGCGATAAACATAGGGGTGCATCTGTCTTTTTCAAACTGGGCTGCTGTATTCTTGGGGTAAATTCCTAGGAGTGGAATTCCTGGGTCAAGTGGTATTTCTATTTTGAGCTTTTTGAGGAACCTCCATATTGCTTTCCACAATGGTTGAACTAATTTACATTCCCAACAGCAGTGTAGGAGAGTTCCCCTTTCTCCACAACCTCGCCAACATTTGTTGTTGTTTGTCTTTTGGATGGTGGTGATCCTTACTGGTGTGAGGTGATATCTCATTGTGGTTTTAATTTGCATTTCTCTGATGACTAGTGATGTGGAGCATCTTTTCATGTGTCTGTTGGTCATCTGAATTTCTTCTTTGCAGAAGTGTCTGTTCAGCTCCTCTGCCCATTTTTTA